CTCTGGCGTGCGTGGCGCGCTGCCGTCGGAAGAGACAGAGGCTCTCCTTGTGGAGCTGGGAGCCTCGAAAAGAGATACGTCGGCACCAGAGACTCCTGCTTTTAGGCTCTCCTTGATGAGCTGGGAGCGCACGCACGCGCCGCCGCCGCCGCCGACCCGCTGCTTGGCGAGTCGCTCGAGCCGATGCTCTTTGAGCTCCGCTTCTGGTCGGCGGCGCTGCGCGCGCACGCAGAGCACGCCGCGTGCTTGCGCGCGCTCGAGGGGGGTGGGCTCGCTGGTACCGCACCTCCAGAGTACCGAACCCGGTGTGGGTTCACTCCCGAGGGTGGTGCGGTAGGTGGGCCCGCCGCGGCCGACGTCGGCGCGGCGGCGCGTTCGCTCGACGCGGCGACGCGGGAGGCGCTGACCAGCGTCGTGATGCAGTACGAGGGCGAGACGATGGGCCGGCTGCCGAGCGTCGCCGAGGTCGAATTCATTATTCACTCACATTTCTGTCTCCACTCGTACTTGAACCACAATACAGCCGCCGCGCGTCGGCGAGGCATAATTCATTCTCAATTCCGAGTCTACTTCCTATGGTTCTAACAATCCTCACTGCCGGACCGCGTCGCCGAGGTCGACGCCGCGATGGCCGGGCAGCGCGCCGGCGCGGGCGTGCTGGCGGTGCATTTGCAGGACGAGGAGAGCGGCGCGGCGCACCGCTCCGCGGCCGCGCTGCGGCGGCTGCGGCGCCAGCTGGTGGCCGCCGCTCGCGCTGACGCTGCGCCGCTCGCTGCGCCGCTCGGTCTGGTGAGAGGGCGGGTTTGGGTGTTGTGTGGTAGGTTCCTCCGCTCGTGCGCAACGTCCACCACGTGCTCCTCGAGGCGGGCCGCAAGACGGGCGACCAGGACCTGCTCCACCTCTCGCTCTATGTCGCCGACTTGGTCGCCGGCGGGCGGTGCTGGCTCTACCAAGCGAGGGCGGGGCGGTGAGTGGGCAGTAATTGCCACTGATAGGTCGCCGACGCGCGGTACGGCCTCTACTCTAACTTCGACGCACCGGGGCTGCAGCACCTGCTCTCGCAGTTCCGCGCCTCGGCCCTGGAGCTGCTGTCGGCCGGCGACGGCGTCGAGACGGCGTGAGCACGCCGGGTGGGGAGGGGTCTGGAGGAAGGAGGGGGGGGGGGGGGGGGGCATATTGGCAACAACTGGGGCCGGTTTGCGTCCCACGTGCTTGGCCCGGCGCGCGGGCCCGGCGAAGGGGGAAGAGGAGAAGAGGGGGAGCGGTGGGGAGGGCAGGGGGGGGCGCATTATAGTTCTATTCTTCTTTTTACCTTGGAGCACTTGGAGCCTGTTTCCAATTTCTTTTTTCCTCGTACCCCCCCAAGAGACGGACATCGGTCATCGCCGACGGCGCCGTCGCGAGCAGGTTGAGAGGCCAATGTCCGCGGAGACAGTGCCCGTAGAGCTGCCGACGACGCCGCAGGGGAATAGCGACGCCCTGCTGCCGACAACGTCGCAGGGCAAGGTTGACGCCCTGCTGTCGCAGGCCGCCTGGCTGACGGCACAGGAGTCCATCCTCTTTGAAGCGGACGAGGCATGACGCCTTGCCTGCCGCCGTCGCCGCCGCCACCCTCCCACGCTGCCTCCACCACCCTTCAGGACGATATTGAGGACGATTGCGTGCCGGCGGGCGCCGGCGAGATCCACGTCGGGTGCAGCGTGCGACTGCGGGCGCCGGGCCTCGAGGGCGACGGGTGCGCGACACTTCGGACAGACCTCCCTCCCAACCGCTGTCTCCGACCGCCGCTTGCACATCTCTGCCAGCGCTGCCGTGGCCGCCCTCGGCACGTCCACGATTCGCCCTGCCGACACGTTTGTGAGACCCCCTGCCGACACGTCCACGACACGCGTGACCGCGATGCAGGTACGTCGCGACGGTCACAGGCTGGAGCAGTAGGAGCTGGGCAGAGGCGTGGGGTGGGGAGGAGGAGAGTCAGCCGCCGCGGAGCTGTTCACACGCGTAGGCCGGAGCAGCAAGGGGTGGGTGTGGCTCTACCACGATGGCCGGATGTACAAGGAGCTGTTCACACGCGTAGGCCGGAGCAGCAAGGGGTGGGTGTGGCTCTACCACGATGGCCGGATGTACAAGCTGTTCACACGCGTAGGCCGGAGCAGCAAGGGGTGGGTGTGGCTCTACCACGATGGCCGGATGTACAAGGCGTCTTCTTCTAGCCTTTGATTAGGGCTCTAGGGCCCGGCTAGAAGAATAGAGAAGCGACTGTTAGGTTAGGACACAAGAGCGCCAGAAACTGGATGCATGTGTTTGGTATTCAAGTACGGCTCGGTCGGACTCGGCTGGGCTCTCACTGTTCCCGGATCCCTTGTATCCACGCGATGTTGCGAGCACGTGGCGTGTTACCGTAGTATTGACACCCTGGCGTGGGGATGTCTATGGCGTAGGTGCAATAGCAGAGAACTGCTCCGGCAGGAACTAACAGTTAATCGCTGAGTATTCGTTAGGTGCAGGAGCGGTACTGCAGGCTGCTCCACACGGCGACGGAGGTGACGCTCGCGACGGCCAAGGCGTCCACGACATGTCCGCCGCATGTCGGCGACACGTCCACGACACGTCCACGAACACGCCCACGACACGCCCACGACACGTCCGCGACACGTCCACGACATGTCCACACGACACACGCCCACGACACACGCCCACGACAACGCCCACGACACGTCCATGACACGTCCACGACATGTCCGAAGGCGGCAAGGGCGGCGGAGGCGGCAAGGGCGGCGGAGGCGGCCGCGGCGGCCGAGGCGGCGGCGCAAAAGAGGGCGGTGTCTAAGGCGGAGGCGCTGGCGACGGAGGCGGCGAAGGCGGAGGCGGCGGCGGCGGCGAAGATTGCGGCGGCCGAGGCGCTCGCGGCGCAGGAGGAGTTTGATGCGACCGCGCCGGTGCTTCCGGACACGCCGCGGCGCGGCGGCCGTGTGCGAGTGCATTAAGAATGAAGAATCGCTGATGAAGGTTCGTGGTTTGAGAATTCGTAGGCGCGGCTGCCGCGTGCGAGTGGTTGCAGAACCCTAGACGCGGATGATAGGCGAGACCCCTGTGTTCCGACGGAGCGCTCGAGAGGGCGCTCCTTCGGCTGTATGTCGCTGTTGCGTATTCGGCTGTTGCTTGCGTCTCCTTCGTAGCCCTCGTAGTACAGATCCCTGTACTCCTTCATTCATAGCCGTTGTAGTACAGACGTCAGACCCTGTCTTCCGCTCAGCCACCTCTATCGGCTGTATTCGGCTATGCGCTTCGCTCATAGCCCTTGTAGACAGACCCGCTATTCTAGCGAGGAGACACGTGCTCGGCTGTACTCGGCTGTGCGCCGCTGTACTCGCTGCACCTGTCGCCCCGAGCGATGCTGCGAGTACACGGCACGATGTCCTACCGCCCCTAACCCTGACCTTGGTGTGACCACGACGTAGGAAGTGTCTAGGAGGTGTCTAGGAGGTGTCTACTGACCTTGTGTGACCACGACGTAGGAAGTGTCTAGGAGGTGTCTAGGAGGTGTCACTGACCTTGTGTGACCACGACGTAGGAAGTGTCTAGGAGGTGTCTAGGAGGTGTCTACTGACCTTGTGTGACCACGACGTAGGAAGTGTCTAGGAGGTGTCTAGGAGGTGTCTACTGACCTTGGTGTGACCACGACGTAGGTTGGAGACGACGGGCGCTGGTCCGGTCGCGTGGGTGTCGTGACCGGTCACGCGCAATTCCTGTTGGGTCACTAGTTATTATTTCTGATAGTAGCGAACGATTGTGGCAGGCATTGCCAAGTCTTCGCTGCTTGATGAATTATTAATAGTAACGAGTACTAACAATGACCGCTGCCTGTCAGGCGCAAGCAAGGCGTCCGCGTGGGTCGTCGTCGGAGAGCACCTCCTAGACACTATGAAGACGTTTCCTAGACACTTCGTAGACACTTCCTAGACATGGACATTCTCCTAGCTACTTGACGACAGCTCCTAGTTTGGCGCTCGCGGTAGGGACACACCTGCATGAGCCTTCCGCGAACCTTCCTGCAGGCGAGCGTATCTATCGCGTCAAGCTCAAGCACGCACACGTCATCGCCACGCCGCTCGCGCCGCAGGCAAGTCTCGCCTCATCTCGGCCGATCTCGGCCATCTTGTCTCATCCTGTCTCCTCTCGGCTCCTCTCGGCTCCTCTCGGCTCCTCTCGGCTCCTCTCGGCTCCTCTCGGCTCCTCTCGGCTCCTCTCGGCTCCTCTCGGCTCCCCTCGGCTCCCCTCGGCTCCTCTCGGCTCCTCTCGGCTCCTCTCGGCTCCTCTCGGCTCCTCTCGGCTCCTCTCGGCTCCTCTCGGCTCCTCTCGGCTCCTCTCGGCTCCTCTCGGCTCCTCTCGGCTCCTCTCGGCTCCTCTCGGCTCCTGTCGGCGCTTCTCGGCGCTTCTCGGCTCCTCTCCTCTCCTCTCCTCTCGTTTGAGCTCGGCTGAGCTCGGCTATACCGAGTGGCTTTATCGATATCGCGGCCGTCAGCGCCACTCCCCGCTTCGCAGGGCCTGGCGGCGGCGGCGCCGCTGACGCGATTCTCGCAGGCGGAGGCGGTAGTCGCAGCGGCGTATAGGCAGCCGTAGGCAGCAGTTCATTAACACGATCGGGGGCACCCCCCTCCACGCCCCACGGTGGGAGTAGAGCATGCCGAGGCAGCGCAGCCGCTGAAGAGCTTGGCGAGCGCGTTCTGCTCCTCGGTGCGCATGTCTCCGTTGGCGGGGTAGGGGTGCTGGTGCTGGTGCGATGAGCCGACCCGAAGTAGCAGCGTCCGTAGTAGCAGCGTCCGTAGTAGCCACGTCTCCTGTCGCTAGTCGCGTGGGCGAGGAGGGGGGTGCCGATCGTGTGGACGAATGGCTGACCGGACGAGTCCGTAGTAGCGACAGGAGACGCGGCCTGAGTGCACACTGACAGAGACAGGGACATGAGGCGTCACATGCACTCAGGCCGCGTGACAGAGACAGAGACAGAGACAGGCCGAGTGGACAGAGACAGGGACGGGAGGCGTCACATGCACAAACACGTAGTTGGCTCTCGCAGGAGTCGCGAGGATCCCCCCCCCCCCCTGCCCTGCCCGCCCCGCCTTCTTTTTTGCCCCACCACGTGTGGAGAAGGTTACCTTCCCTTACCTCGTCGCAGGTCGTTGTGGACGAGATCGCCTCCCCCGACGACGCTCTCTCGGTGGAGGCAGCAGCCGCACGGCAGTCGGGGCGGCGTATGAGCCGCTCGCGGTCCTTTTGGGAGACGGAGGGAGCTGGCGACAGCAGCGCCACGGCCTGAAGGCCGCCGCGCTGTCGGTGGCACCGCGCTGCTCGCGCCCCCTGGCATGTGGACAGCCACCGCGGTCTAGGCTCACGCGCGCGAAGACGTCGCGGCTGCGCGTTGGGGGAGGGGGGAAGCTAGGGGGGAAGGGGGTGGTGTTTGTGTGTGAGAGGGGGGGGGGGGTATGACCGCATCGCATGCCGAGCAATCACAACCACAAATAAACCACAATGAACAAAAAGTGAGCGTGAGTGAGCGAGTGAGTATTCTTGTGCGAAACCACGACGCCACAACAAGACGAGCTGCGGGCGGCAATCGCTGCGAGCCCCGGAGCGGCCAAGGAGAAGGACGAGGAGAAAATGCGGCCGCTGCGCTACGGCAGCACTAGCAGGCACACGGGCACCGGTACGTAACAGGTGCAGGTACGTAGTCGTCACTTTCCTGCCTCACAAGGGCGGGGCTGTCCCGGAAAGTGAGAGACGCCGGGCAGCGTGACGCACAACTTTACCCTCCCATACGTGTTGGGCTCCTCCTTCGCTGTCCCATCTCCTCATATCCTTCCCACCTAGGCGGGGCGGGGGCCGGGGGGGCGGCGGGCGCGGGGTGCGGGGTGCGGTGCGGTGCGTGCAGTCGTGTGTTTGGCGTCCTGTTGTGTGTGCCTAGCTTCGCTTGTTGTTAACATCGAAGTCTAGCTCAAAGAATTTACGAAAACGTCGCACGACACTGGGCACGGGACCTGAGCAATGATATGACTGGGTGGCAAATGATAGCAGTGGGCGTCAGAAGACTCGTCCTTGCTCGAGGAGAGCTCGATAGACTCGAGGGGCCAGGATATGCAGCGAGGAGGGCGGAGCTGCGCCGAAAGGCGCAAGAAGCCGCGAGAACAAGGGAACGGCAGGCGGCGGCGGCGGCGCAGAACGAAGCAGAGGAGAGCGACGCGACAGAAGAAGAAGCGACAAGGGAGAGAACGACGAGGGTGGGACGACCGCGATGTGGCATGAAGGCCGCAGCGAGAATCTGCGAAAGACTGCGAAGAGAGATAGGAAGTGGCGGACGCCCAAGGGTGGGCGACGGCTAGCGCACCACACCCCTCCTCCTTAAAATCCCTGTGTGGTGGCGGCGTGCCGTCCTCCCATCCCTCCCTTGGGTTGTCCGTTTTCTTTCTTTCTTTGGGCACTGGACTGGCGCGCACTGGCACTAACACAGGTACACTACGGGAGTCGCCTAAGCGACCTGCGAGGGCCAAAAGAATTTTACAACCTTACTCCCTCGCACGACACTGGGCAAAAGAACCAGCCGAATTTTACAACAAAGCGAGGGGCAGTGAGGCCTCTCCGGCTCGCCTCCATCCGGCTCATGCGGGGTTACACCCGCACGGGCGAGTGGCCCGAGCCCATCCTACCTAGCCCTGCACCGCAGCGCGGCCGCTCGCGTAGGAGCCCCAGATGAGTGGTCAGATGAATAGATAGTGCCAGATAACGAGGGATCGGGAGGCGAGCACAAATTAGGACGCCCAGCCTTGCCCTCGTGCCGCCGAGTGCGTATCCTATGCGAGAGAGATCCCCTGTGCCCTGTGCCCAGCCCTCTCCGCGCCGCGATGCGCCCCCCCCCCCCCCCCCCCACACACACACAGCTCCCGAGTCGACACAACGGACGTCAGCGTATCACTCGTACAGCAGCAGGAGCAGCAGCAGCAGCAGCAGCTTCCGCCACTGACCATGTTTACACTTCCGCAAAGTTACACCGACCTGGCCGCACAAGCAGCCGGTGCTCTCGAGGTTTGTCGGCTGTCCCTCGACGGCGAGCCGGCAGGGCCCTCCTCTTGCTGGCCGGGTCCTCTTGCCCGGCCGGGTCCTCCTCTTGCTTGACTCCCCCCTCGACGAAAACCTATACACACGACCACAGGAAATCCGAGGTTGTGAAGCGTGGAGTCGAGAGGAATCGGAGAATCTTGCACCTGATATCGCGAGGTGGCAGCCAGCGCGTTTATCCCCCTGGCGCTGAACTGCGCATCAAGGGTGATGTCTTGCAGCTGGGGGGCAGCTCCCGTCTGCTCAAGGGCCGTGGCCAGCACCCTGAGCCCTTCATCGCCAATCCGATTGCGGTGAAGCACGAGCTCCTCGAGTCGCGGCAGTGCCCCCTCCTTGCCGAGGGCGGCGGCCAACGCCTTGCAGCCCTCGTCGCCAATCTGGTTGCTGTGGAGATAGAGCGTCTTGAGCCGCGGCGCTGCCCCACTCGCGAGAACCTCAGCCAGCTGCGCCGCCTCGGCGTCGCCCCAGCCGAGGCGGGAGTAGGTAAGCCGGGTCGCCTTGCCAAACTGCTCCTTGAAGGCGGCCTCGTACAGCTGCTTCACGAGCGGCTTGTCGTCCTTGCCGTTCGTGAAGCTCTTCGTCTCCAGCTCCTCCGCGAACGCAGACGGCAGCAGCGGAGGGCGCCGGCCGCCGCCCTGGGTGCAGTCCTCGATCAGCTCAAAGCGGAAAGCGTACTCCTTGTCGTCGCACATGCGTCCGAGGTCGAGCGACTTTCTGAAGTCCTTGGTGAGGCTTGCCATCGCGCTCTCGGTAAAGCACCAGCCGCGGTCATAGTACTCGCTCACGTTGGCGCCCTCTGGCTGGTCCTCCTTCTTGTAGCCCTCCGGAAACGTAGTCAGCCGCAGCACGGTCGTTTCCTGGTGGGAGTAGAACATGCCGAGGCAGCCCAGCCCCTGCTTGAAGAGTGCATTCTCCTCATCGGTACGCATGACGCCACTCTCGGGATCGGGGTGCTGGTGCAGCGAGCCGAAGTCCCAAAAGACGCCGAGCCGCGTGAAGCGGGGGCCGAGCCGGGTGAGGGCCTTGAGCGCCTTTGCGACGCGGCGCAGGTTCTCGCCAATCGGGTCGGGGTGGTTCTTGGTCAGCCACGGGCATGAGAGCTGGAGAATGGGCAGCCCGTTTGAGCATGCCTCGACGAGGTCGCCGAGGGAGAGGAAGGCCTCTTTGGGCAGCGCCTGGCGGTGAGTGAGGACGCCGCCCGCCTCGGCGTGGCTGATGATCCACCGCGCGTCGAGGAGTGAGACGGCGCCGCTGGCGAGGACCGGCTCCAGGTCGCCGCCGCCGAACTTGCGCCACTGCTTCAGCAAGTTCTCCAGCTCCCTTTCATCCACGCTAGGAATGCCGAGGGCAGCGGCGGCGCAAACCAGCCGCGTTTGCCGCAAAGCGAATACGATTAATGCGGCCTTAACGCTGCTGGAAGAGCGAGATACTATGGAGTGCCTCATCAGCACCATCATTGAGAACTTGCCGCAGGGCGTCTCCGTCTCACGATGAACCAACGAGAGCGTCTCGCAAAGGTGCCGCGTCTCACGATGACCAACGAGCGTGCTCGCCTTCTTCAAAAAGAATTCTTAAGAGACAAGCCTCTCTCACAGCACACTGGCACGACAAGGGCGCGGACTGGCGCGGACTGGCACACACACCGGCTCACCACCGGAGCCGCCTAAGCGACTCCGTTAAGAACGGCAATGCACTCCGCACCGTGCACAATGCCGCTCTCCCCGCACGCTAGCTCGTTCACCGTCTGCCACGCCACGGCGGTGTGGAGGACGACAGACAAGCGCTGCATCTGCAGCCCGTGCCAGTTCTTGGTGGTCCATGTGACCTCGTCCAGGTGCTGAGCGTGCGAAAGTTTGTTGCTCAGCTGGTTCGCCGCCTCCCTCAGGGTGCTGCGAACCTCCTTTCCAAAGCCTCCGAAAGCCTCAAAATCAAACAAACGTAGATCGCAATCCTGCTCCCGCGCAAAGCGGTAATCGCCATCCAGCTCCTTGAGCTTTCCCTTGGGGGCATCCTCCTCCTCCCCGTCCTCCCCCTCCTCCTCGGCCTCCTCCTCCTCCCCCGCCACCGCCGCTGCCGTCGCTCCCACGGAGACCACTTGCCGCGCCCTTATTTGACCAACTTGAGCAGCCCGGTCTCCGTGTTGCCAAAACGTACATAGGCCCCCTTCCAGCCGAGCTCTCCGTCGCCGGCCGCGTCCTTGCCCTGGCTCGCAAGCGAGCTCGTGAGCTTCAAATCGGCAACAAGGCGCCTGTGTTCCCTGCCGATGTTTGCCGCCGCCACGTCAGGTTGTTTTGTATTACTGTAACTGAGGTGTGCAGTCGGCTCCATCTCGATGATCGTGCCCCACGCCGAGCGGAGGCATTTGATCAAACGTTTGAGTAGGAATTTGCGTCTTGTAGCATGCTTTGACCGAGGGTTAACCATCGCGGCGTCGCCAAGGACGTCGTGTAGCTGGCCGCTGGGTGCCCTCTTGCCTGCCTCCACCGCCTGGCAGGCGACATCAAGGGGGAGCCCAAGGCGGCGCTGAACGGTGACGCGCATCGCCCAGGACTCCATCTTCATATCATCACGCATGGGGATGGCGTTGAGGAAGGCGCCGGCCCCTGGTTGGCTGACGGCGACAAAACGGATCGCCTCTCGCCAGCATTTGTGGTTATTGCGTCTTCCGACCTTGTTGCGCCTTTGGAGGGCGCCTTGCGGCCGCCACTGCGAAGCGCCTCGTTGGTAAGCTCCTTGGCAAGGTCGAGCCAGTTAGAGTGGTGCACGCCAGAGGTGTACCGCCGCTGCGCTTGGTGCAGGCACTCGTGGGTGGACGAGAACTGGGCCAGGGGAAGCAGCTCCGCAGCCGGCGTCAGCCCGTGCGGAAAGAAGCGGAACCTCGGCTCCGCCTTCGCCTCGTTGGTCGCAGTGCCCGGGCTCATTACCTCCCGGCACACGACCTGCGTCCGCCAGCTCCGCTGGCACTTGTCGGTGAGGTCGTGGCTGCTGACGAGCTGCGTGTGCGCCTCTCGCAGCTCGTCGAAACACTCTCCGGGCGCGGTCGAGATGTCGAGATCGGCGAAGGGCCTGTGTAGCTCGCGGATCGGCCGCGTGACGAGAGCCCACGTACCAACCCACGCCGCGCCGCGAATGTCCTCGGCGCCAGTCAAGCCCATGCCGCCCATATTGACTGGCAGACGCGCCTGCTTGAGCGCCCGCACCCACCGGTCATCATCGCGCCCGACTCGCCCGCCGCCGACAAGCTCGTACAGGCTGTCTGCAATCAGCCTGTCGTGCTCCTTTGCCGCCGCCAGGGTGACGCTGGGAGGCATCGTGCGGAGGAAGATCTAGGGTACGATACTTGACCCCCCCCCTTGGCGCCTCGTGTTTTTCGTGCCAAACCAGCGCGATCTCGGCGGGGCGTCAGCGCCTCTCGGAGGGGCATCATGCGCTCCCGGGGCCGCCCGACGGGGCAGGCCTCTTGCTGATGGACCCAGCCGAGGTGCCCAACCAGTTGGAGTCGCGCCGACGCGCTGCGGCGACCACCAGCCAGCTTTTCAGCGCGGTCGAGGACGGTGCGCCGAAAGAGTAGACAGTCTCCGGTCCATCCGGAATTTTGTCGTTTTAGTTAGCACTGCTGCTGCAGACAGGGCCCGCGTGACCCCTTGCCCTTCCCGGATCCAGCTCGCTGAGGCGTGGCGTCACCCCGCTGACCGCCCACAGGTGGCTGACGAAGCGCCACTCATCGCTGCTTTCGCGCGCCTGCTCCACAGAGGGCTCCTGCGGCTCTCCCTCGTCGCGTGACCGCCGCCGACAGCATCTGCTCGGTCGTGCCCGCCAGCGCGGAGCTGCGCCACGTCGAATTGTTCGGCGGCTCGACCGCCGGCGCGCCCATCCTCGCCTCCTGCGCGCCTCACACCCAGTATTTTCCTCGCGCGCGGCCGACAAAGTAGGCACACGACCACCTCCCTCCCACTCACCCCCCCCCACGATGCACAGCCCGTCCACTCTCGCCGGCAAGGCGCACGGAACGCCCAATTTGGGCTGGAAATGCCGCCGCCACGGGTTGGTGGTGCCCTCGGCAGCGGGGCAGCGCCACGCCGCGCAAACTTGCGCGACAAACTTGCGACCTCTGTCCCTCGTATTCACCCCAGATTTTGCCCTATCCAGGCTCACCCGGTACCGCGAGCGACGAGCCGCGCCAAGTTTGCTCCATTTCCGACAAGTTCATCCTGCCCGAACGCCGATCTTCGGCCGCCTGGAGGCCCAGGACGGGGCTCGGGACCGGCCAGGTGTGGATTCTCCACGGCGCTGCGGTGTATCTGCGCGCCCATGGCGCGTTCAGGGGTGTGCCTGAGGCGTGTAGACTGCGGGGCGCCGCGATAGCGCGGCGCCGACGATTGTGTCGCGCACTGTCACACCCACGACACGGTCACAGTGTGTGTGCAGTGCGTCCACTCCGGCGACCGTGACGCCGTCGGCGCTCGCCTATACCGGCTAGTGTGGAGCTTTCAGTGTGGTTGCGTGTTGTACTAGTGATGCTGCACTAGGCGGCCCGTTTTTAGCAAAAACCAGATACCACATCGCGTGTGGTCGTCGAAAAACCGCATCTTCGCCCGTCTGGGACCTCTTCGTACGGCTCCAAAAACCGCTCCTTAACGACGGCTACGCGGCCCGGCGGTCGATCTGCGCCTTCTCAGCGGTGGAGGGGATGTGGGCGGTATGTGCGTACCGCGTGGTGTTGCGACGGTTTGACGAGTGCGACTCCCAGCGTCGACTTTTCGACCCCACGGAGCCTCTGCTGCTCCCGGGGGGGGGGTCTGCAGACCACCCGGCCGAACTTCAGAGTCGCGGTGCTCCTCAAATACCGCTCAAACGCCCACGATGTTGTGGAGGGGACATATGCTGATGATCCTGGCCCGATTGGTTCGCTCAGAAAGCTTCTGGGCGGTCGTTAAGGTTCGCTCCCCGCACACCGGCCCGGAAGTATCGTACCCTAGAAAGAAGGTGAGCGTGGTATTCATGCAGAAACGGATCAGCACCTGTGAGAGCTGCTGCGCCGTCCGGACCTTCTTGGAGTCGCGCAGGGCGAGAATGCCCGGAAGCGGCTCCAAGGCCTTGCGGACCCGCTTGACCAGTTTGTCGCGGCACCACACAAAACCGCCAAGGAAGGCGCCGAGGACGCGGATGCCCGGAAGCGTGCCGCCCTCGTAGGAGCCGTGGGGCGGGGCGTCCGGCGTGCCCTTGACGTCCACCCGATGGCGCACCGAATCGAGCGAGCGAGGGTCCGGCGCCCAAATGCACCGCTTAGACGGGTTGCTCTCAACGCCGCAGCATCGCTGCGCAATGACGTCGCCTTCGAGCATCGCGCAAATCAGGGTGGACGGATGCCGGACCTGCATCTCCAACAGGGTCCAGTGGTATCCAATCGCGAAGAGGAAGGGCCCGAGGGGATCGCCCTGCGCGCAGCCCTCTGCCGAATCGAAGATGTCGCCCGAGCCGTCCCGCGCCTCGTCGTTGAACAAGAAGAGGCGGCGAAGGGAGGGATGGGAGGACGGCACGCCGCCACCACACAGGGATTTTAAGGAGAGGTGTGTGGTGCGCTATCCGTCGCCCGCCCTAGGGAGTCTGCCTCTTCCTATCTCTCTTCGCAGTCTCTCGCCGATTCTCGCTGCAACCTTCATGCCACCTCGCGGTCGTCCCACCCTCGTCGTTCTCTCCCTTGTCACTCCTCCTCTGTCGCGTCGTTCTCTTCTGCCTCGTCCTGCGACGCCGCCGCCTGCCGGTCCCTTGTTCTCGCGGCTTCTTTCGCCTTTCGGCGCAACTCCGTCCTCCTCGCGGCGTATCCTGGCCCGTGCCCAGTGTTGTGCGAGGGAGTTTTCTTGTAAAATTCTTCTGAAAAACGGCGTTTTGGCCGCGGGGCATCTCCGGGGTACATCTTGGACTGGATGCTGAAGATTGCCTCGCTTCTGCTCGTCGCTCTGTCGACGTCTGCCCTGCCGGTGCGTCGCTCCGCCCAGCCGCACTTACTCACATGCAGGCTTGAACTTACACGCACCACACGATCGCGCAGGCAGAAATCGTCGACGACATCAATCCAGCCGCTCGCGGCCTCGCCTTTGCGCCCAAGCCACATCCTCCCGTGCCCGACGTGGTCGACGACCCCGCCTGGCTGATCGCCACCTCTGGCTTCTGCTCGAACCTCAACGTCGTGATGAAGGAGCGCGACGTCGAGGCGAGCGAGACGGAGGGCGACACCGCGGCCCACTTCATGGCCGACATCGCCTTCAACTACTACCCGCAGACGGCGGTCAAGTTCACCGATTTCCCTCACCACCTCGCGAAGACAATCGAGGGCGATGCGGCAGAGGCGGACGCGCTGGTCTCAAGCGCATGGGACCACAAAAACATCGCGCTCCTCGAGCCGACGTCGACGTGCAGCGCCGACGAGCAGGGCGATCAGGCTTGGGGCATCTCCGTCTTCAAGGTGGAGGAGCACCGGCACTGCACGGACGGCGAGACGGCGTGGGAGGGACATCCTTGCGTCCACTACTCCGGCTACGTCTCGGCGGCTACGTCCAACTTTGTCAACGTGAATGAGGGCCGGTTCGTCTGCCAGCTGTTCGTCGACTCGATCCTGTCGAGGACTGGGGACTCGTGCTGGTGCCGATACAAGCGAGGATGTCTGTGCTGGTGAGGATTTATGCACACGTGACGAGTGGGGAGGGTGTCTGTGGTGGGCTGTAGTCCTACTACGTGGTTACAACCACGCACCCCTCGCACCGCCTCGCGCCGCCCGCCGCCGCGCCGAGCCGCCGCCCGAACAGTCAGGCTCGGACTGGACACCGGCGCGGTATGGGTGGACGCTAGACAGGAGATGACGGCACGCTGGAGCGACACACAGACACATAAACACACAAGACACACAGCCTACTTGAGGGGCTAAGACGCCAGCCTTCGCAAACGGCCAAAGGATATCACCTCAAAACCTCGAGCTTCGCGTCGCAAGGCCCAACCAATTACTGCGGCAGTACTTGGTCTGCGCGCCAACGGCTGGTGACGCTGTGTTGCCCGCCTTGAGCTAGTCCTTCCCCGGTCGCCTAGCCTCTGCGCTGTCTGGCGAACGCCTGCCAAGTCATGAGGCGGGTTCAGAGCTTTCGTGGGTCATCAGTCAAAATATCTCAATATCCGACCGGGGGATTCTCCCCAAGCCTTGCTCAGCTGATCCAGCATGGGTCGTAGGCCAGGCCTGGGCAAAGAAACCAGTACCTCATCAGGCTTCCCTGAGCGTCACAGCTCGGTGATCGCGCCGGCCGGACACCACTGTGACGGCCGTTCCGGGCGTTTGAACGCGACCTTCGGGGGCAAAGACATGGGCTCTATGGCTCAGACTGGACTCCGCTTGGTCCCTTCTGATGCCCTAGGCCACACCTGGGCCTTACCTGGGGTCCTAGGGGCCGGGCAGGGTTTGCCCCAGCTGGCCCGACGAAGCTTAAATTCTTTTTCCTGGTGTTGTGTATGTCCGACGTCAGAGCTCTTGACGTCAGTCCTGGCGCCACGGCGGCCAGGGCGATCAACAGGTCATTTTGGAACTCGGCCGTCGTCAAGAGGCAGGTCGCCGCCTTTGACCGTGAATGTGAGTGCACTCGCGCTCTTCACGCCGACTACGCCCAGCGGCTGGACCGCGTGCTCATTCTCGACGGCACGGGCTTCCGATGGGAGGGCCTCGGCAACTCGGGCACTCGCTGGATGGGCCTACTGCGCTTTGGCTTCGCCACAGGCCGCGCAACCTACCTGCAGCTGTCTCGCGAAGACGACGCGACGCCACGGCTCGACATCGGCGACTACTTTGTCGGCCACGGAGGCGTCGACTGGTCGTGGCGCTCGCAGGCTCGCGCTGTGCGCGCCCGCATGGCTGGTCGTGGCGTGCGCAGGCCGCTGGTGGTCGAGTACGGCTGCGCGCGCCGTTCGCCGCCCGGCTGCGCCCTCGCACGCCTCCGCCTCAGCAACGGAAGCCGGCTGCTGCTCGCGGAACCTACCGGCGTGTTGGAGTGGCTGCGGAGCGAGAGCACCCCCCGGTGGGTGCGGATCGTGCTGCAGCAGCAGGACTCGCTCGAGTTCTCCTACTCCAAGCCAGAGGCGCTTCGCCCCACCGGCGCCCTCCCGCTCGTGGCTTGCCCGGCACAGCACGCGCCTCGCTTTCGGGTGCAGCTCTGAGATGCCGCGAGCAAGCCACGTGCCATTCATTCCAGCACCCGTAGTACTTTGACGGGCCGGGGTCAGCCGCGAAGAGTTTCGGCAGATCACCTCGTCGACCGCGCCGCGCGCGATC